TCTCCGACCGCCTGGATGCGCTGCATTCGCGACTCGTGCATTCGCGACTCGGCACGACAACAATGGCAACGCCGAGAATCAAAATCTACGCCGAAACCTTCTCTACACCACCACCGTGCCTGGCTAGAAGCCCCCGATTGGTGAACGGACTACGCTGTCCAGGGTCAGCACGGCGCATATGCCACAGAGGTGGAGGGAGGAGGTGTGTGTGCGCGTGTGGAGTAAATCGAGGATCCAAGGAGGAGGGGGGTGAGGAGGAGGATCAAGGGAGGAGGGGGAGGGGAGGAGGAGGGGGAAAAATCAAGGCGCAAGGGAGGAGGAGGATCAATGGAGGGGGGGGGGAAATCGAGGGTCAAGGGAGGAGGGGGGGACGCGCCAGTAGGGGGGCGCGTTTCCTCCGCTTAGGCCGCTCCGCGCGCGCACGCCGCGGCTCCCGCGGGGCGTTTGTTGTTGTTGCTGCTGCTGCTGTTGTTTGTCTCTGTTGTTCTCTACCTGGGCTCTGCCTAGAAGGGCTCGTACCCTGTATGCTTAAAAGGGGCCGGGCAATGCTCCCCGCCCCCAGCGGTTCCCCCAGGATCCGCCCCGCGGTTCCCACGGCATCCGCCCCGCGGTTCCCCCAGTTGCGCCCCTGCTTAGCTTAGCTTAGCTTATCCTAGCTTAGCTTAGCTCATATTAGCCTAGCCTAGCCTAGCTTATCTTAGTTTAGCTTAGTCTAGCCTTAGCTTACTTTACCTTACCTTAGCTTACCTTAGCTTAGCTTAGCTTCATTTTATCGTAGCTTAGCTTTGTTTAAATCATGTTTAGCTTATCTTATCTTAGCTTAACTTCGCTTAGCCTAGCGTAGTTTAGCTTAGCCTAGCTTAGCTTAGCTTGGCTTAACTTAGCTTGGCTTAGCTTGGCTTAGCTCATCCTAGCTTAGCTTAGTTTAGCTTAATTTAGCTTAGCTAACCTTAGCTTCGCTTATCTTAGCCCAGTTTAGCTTATCTCATCTTAGCTTAGCTTAGCTTAGCTTAGCTTAGCCTAGCTTAGCCTAGTCTAGCCTAGCTTAGCTTATCTCATCTCATCTCAGCTTAGCTTAGCTTAGCTCAGCCACCTTAGCTTAGTGTAGCTTAGCTTAGCTTAGCTGGTGCTGCTTTCCTAGGGGCTCCAACTCCTAGGTAGGGTCGCACTGAGATAACTTCCTTTATGTGTATATATATACGTATGTGTATATATACATGTGTATATATATACATATCTATATATAATACACGCGGCGAAAGGAGCCGTCGGACACGTCGCGGTGGGCGTCGCCGGCGACGGCCACGCGGTCGTCGCCGCTCTCGGCGTCGACGCAAGGCGCCAGGTTGCCGCTGATGCCGTGAGCGCCGCCTGCCACCACAGGCTCTCCGTTGCAATGCTCCTGGGGGGTGTCGCCAAGGCCGCCATCGCCATGTACCTGCTCGGCCTCATGCGCGGTGCCTCGCAGTTCCTCGTTCGCGCAAGCAGCAGGCCTGTCGCCGCGCCAAACATGATGTCGCCATCGGATGGCGGGGAAGGTCCCCGCCGTAGTGTGTGCTCAACACCATGATCCCGCCGCTCTATGTGGTGGGTCTCGAACGCCACGGCCGGCTTTGACGTGGTCCGCACCTTAAGCAGGCACATCCTCCTGCCCACTAGGTTCAAGCAGTTATTCGACTCCATCATGGCCGCGAAAAGGGCAAAACACTGTCACCTTCTTCACCCATAGGTACTTTCGTTTTTAGTTACGCTACCCTCAATCATGTCAGCCAAATCAGACAGGTCCGTCAGGTCGCCGTGGCCCCTCATGCGCATCTCGCTCAAGAGTGGGCGAAGTGGCAGCGCGCCTCACGAGGGTGACTCAGCATCAGAGGGGCCCGCCTCATTTTCCAAGCCGTCGGTGTCGACCTCGGTGGGCGAGAGGAAGAGGGAATCACCAGCTGACTGCCTCCGCACATAGCGGTCAGAGGTCTCGGATTCCAGGTCTCGGATTCGCCATCGTCACCGTCGCCAGGCGCATGCAGCTCGCGACCTCGATGCTGCGCCGAGCATTTCGCAGGCAGCCCCGCAGGAGGAGAGAGGCCCACCACTACTTACGAACAGGCAGCCCGTGAACGAAAACTAATCCTGCGCGGGTCGGGGCGCGTTTTCCCTGGCCCAAGATGTAGCCAGCAAGCGCCGCCGTTCTCGTGAGTATGCCCGATGCGGGATAGAAGCTGTGGAATTTGTTCTTGTCCCTCAGTCGACTCTGACCAGGCCGCCCCGAAGATTGCATAACCCATGTTGCGCCTCGCGCGATCTCGTTCAATGGTCACCTCCACAACAATTATTCCCCCACTTCTTAACGGATTACATCCGACATGCGCTGCATGCACGAATTCAGCCAGCCCCAAAAGTCAGTCCGCGGACGATCCGCAAAGAAGGCAGAAGGGACCCGGCCACGAACCCACCCACCAGAACGAGAAAGGATAACCAGCAACGCCAACGCAGGACCTGCTGTAGAAAGGACAACGACTTGCATCAGAAAGGGGCGGTCTTCCTGAAACGGAGCCGCTGAACTGGTGCACAGCGGCAACCCCCACATAGCACTCCAACGCGTCCTCGTGGCCCTCGAATCGCTGCCCGTCACCTGACGGGCTGGCCCCGCCATCCCAGCGCCCGAATTGTTTGTCATCGCGGTGCTTGACTCCCCAGGCTGCCACTGTAAGCACGTCGCGGCGCCGTTCCATCCCCAGAAGATCACCAGCAGCAGCCGCAGCAAAGCCATCGGCGGAACATTGTCGTCGCTCTCCAGCACCCCCGGAGTTTCGAGATGGCCGCGCAGGCCGGGAGAGCGTTCAGGAACACATCCCCGCGAAACACCAGTCTGCATCCGGAATGTGTCGCGTTCAACCTAGCACCGTCTTCACCATCGCTGGGAGGGTCGCCGTGGTCTTCGTCACCTTGCGCGACTTCGCCCGCCCCAAGAGGAGGGGCTGCCCCGAGCCGCCCAACGGGGCAATTTGGGTAAATCGCCGAGAGCCCGTGCGCCGCCAACATCTCGTCCATGTCCTCGTTTTCGCTGGAGGCGCCGCTAGAGTCACCGCGCCCATGCCTCTTCCCAGAGGTCACTGTCTCCAGAGGTCCATTGTCTTCGTCGCCCATTCACTACTGGGCGATCATAAGGCACGCGTCTCCGCGCCCAATCCGTCGCCACGAGGTTCAAGAAGAGGAACAACTGGCGCGGGAGGGCGTGCAATTCCATTGGGCGAGACGCCGCGAGCAAACGTGCATCCAGCGCGGTCCACGGGGTGGACCTCCTCGACCATCGTCGCGTTTTCCTCACACATGTCCTGCTCAGTGACCTCCGTAGCTAGCTAGAGCAACTTTCTCCTCGACGTCGGCATCGGCATCGGCTTGCGAGCTGGCGAGGATAAATCTCCACTGCGTGTCGGAAAATGGGTGCGCGCACTCTGCGTCTCCAGGGCCGGGCTGCTCGTCGGGCGGGCGCAGTCGCTCATCTTCCGATTCGCGCGCTGATCCATCATCCGTCAAAACTGGGGACTCACACTGAGCTGTATCGCGTAGATCAGGCCGGAGAAAAATGGGCCCACGCTTTCGTTCAGGGTGCTGCTCACGATGCGTCGACATTTGCTGCTCTTCCAACATGCGCACCCGGTCGGGCGCCCAGGCCTCTTCTTCGGCATGTTCCACCGCCGGACTCCGAATCGCGAGACGACGCGCACCATTGCTCCACAATAAACCTGCGAACTGCCACCTGACCTCCGCGGCCGATCGCAGAGCCGAGCCATGCCGCGCCAATTTGCTGTCTCCAGCATCAAATAGCGGGGCACGCCGAAGAGAAAACGAGGCGAAGCATGCGTAGCGAAGGGAATCTTCCACAGGGCCAATACGCCACAACACGTAATCTTGGTGGTCGATCCTGTCCACCCCGCTCGTAAATGGAAGGTGACCAGTCGCGCGCCCGCCAGGTTGCCCGATCTGCGGGCCCCCCTGATACGCGCCATCTTCTTGCAGGCGCGTGCCGCGAAGATGCTGCGTCGCAGCTGTGTGAGCGGCGCCCGTGGATTCGATGACGTCGCCCAGGTCGCGCAAAAACTTGCGCCCCAAGGGCTGCCGCGGCATTCTCAGCATCGTTGCCAGGAATCGGCGAGTGCATGCCCCCCCTTTCCGAGGCGCCCTCGCTCGCCGAACGCGCGCCAGGTGGGGCGCCAGTGGGGGCCCAGCGAGGCCGCGGCCCCAGGTTGCGCGACCAGGTCGCCAGTCTCCACAAAGCCGGCTGTCGTCGCAGATTCCGATAAAGCCGCCGCTGACGACGAGGAGGGCGCTGACGTTGAAGAAGACGCCTCTGAGGCACTCGTCGAAGGACTGCCGCCGAGCGCATCATCGGCCCCGCCAGATCCACCGCCGCGGGCGGGCCTCCGAGTAGCAGCTCAGCAACGAAAGCGCTGGCGGGCCGCGCTCGCGTCACGCAACATGGGGCAGCCGTGGCTTTGACGCGGAAAGCTCCGGGCGCAGCCCCCGGCGAAATTACAAAACATGTTTGCGCCCGCGGCGTGAGGAAGCCAGCCTGTGCATCCATCGTTGGAGCGGCCGCCGGGGGGCCAAGGAGCGCCCTCATCTCTGCGTTTCCCTGAGCGCACCATTTTGCCAATCTCTTTTTCGACGTGCCGACGCCTGACGACGCGGGTGGCTGGGGGGGTCTGGATCGGCACCTGGCGGGCAGCATCCGCGATGGCCTGGCAAGCTGCCACGCGCGGCGAAGAGCTTCTGCCGCGCGCAACGAGAGCGTCGCAAGCAGCTGCCACTCCGCTACTATTGCACTGGAAGTCCCGGGAAGGGCCAGCGCCGCGAGCAGTGCCATCGAATGTCTCACCAATAGCTCCCGCCCAAGATCGCTGGCGGAAGCGTTCCGCGACGCCCCGCCAGAGATCTGTCGCGAATCCGACATGGGGAGCACTGTTGGGGAACACCACTTTTGCGCGGCGAGCGCCAACCTGACGAGGGCCGC